TCTTGAAGGAGGGCGGGGATGGCTGTACAAGATATCCCCCTGAGTATTCAAAAAAAAAAGAGAAAAAAAGAATAGCCAAAAAAGTATGGTTTGGCAACATACAAAACATGTGATAATTGTGAGAAATTGCAATTCTTACCTGCTGTTTAATACATTTGATTATTACAGGAGTTCTTACTATAGTAACCTACTGTGCTACGCTCTCTGAAAAACGTCATGAAAAGTGTTTTGAATCCTTTAACCTTGTGAATCTACACTTTCTGGCGGGGCATGCCCCATGACCCCCGTAGCACTGGCATGCCTAACGCACGCGGCTTGCCTGCGGGCAGCAAGTTAATTTTGCCCGCCGTCTATCGCCGATCATCTCCCCCCACTCCTCGGTACGGATTTACGCCCCTGGGTGGAACCATGGTGGAACAGAGTCGAAGCAAGTACTGTTCACTTTACATAAAGGCGAATGCCCACCCGAAAAGACATGTATCATGCATCGTTGGTCTTCAGTGGCAGTGCTTGCCTCGCCACCTTTTCTCACTCTGGATCACTCCGATCAGGATCTTTTTCGCTGAAAATTTCACTACTTAACTAAAAATTTTCATTTTGTTCAAAAAGTGAAGTCTCATTCACTAATTGGCACTTGAACATAATGCGAAGCGGTCCTCTGCTGAGACTGTGAGTGCGGCCCTGGTTACCGAGTATGTAGAGTCACAATGCGAGTCTATGCGGCTATGGGAAGTGATGATCTATGTGGCACCCTACTATTTCTATCTCTAGCTCGCTATATAATGATACTGTCTGAGACAGCCTATTCAATGTTGTTTCTTTCCAGTAAAGCGTGCTTACTACAAACTGTCACTGAAAGTTCATCCAGACCGAGTCGCCGCCACTGAGCAGCGCTCCGCTACAGTAGTATTCCAGATTTTAGGCAAGGTTTATGCAGTTCTCTCAGATAAAGAGAAGAGAGCAGTTTATGATGAAACAGGTAAATTAAGTTCTTAAATTTTCAAACGTACAGCATTTGGTTTCCCAATTTGCCGCAATTAACACTCTCTGAACATGTTTTAGAATTTGCTGTGGTGTGTGGTGGGATGATGTTTGCTTCTAGTAAACGATTCTTGACCCTTTGTCAAGCTAGACTGGTCTTCATGAATACCTTGCTTCTTGCAGGAGAGGTGGATGACGATAATGACATTTTCAAACAAGAAAGAGATTGGATGGATTACTGGAGACTGGTGTACCAAAAGGTGTCCACAAAAGACATTGAAGATTTTGAAGAAAAATACAAAGGTGTGTAAAATACGGTTTTCACATGTGTGTTTGGCGATATTAACACACTTTGTAGTAGCACAGGCACAGATAACTTCTGCTCTGAGGAAGACTATATAATGCAATACTATGCAATACTATTAATGCAATACAATTAATGCAATACTATAGCTCAAGGGGTCGTTGTCGTATCAGGTACTACAGATATGTACCTGAGGTACATATATGTATACACAAAGTGTACCAGACTTGTACTACAGAAGTGTACCATAACCCTAACACTAACCCTAACCCTAACCCTAAACATACCTCATATAAACATATAAACATAATACTAAACAACCTAAAACTACCTCGGTTACATATCTATAGTACCTGATACGACAACGACCCCATCTGCAATACTATGCAATGTTGTCCAGGTAAAGTCGGACACCATTGTTTACTATATACATACTGTGTGTATGTGAGGACTGATTCATGCATCACCACACTAGAGGCATAAACTTAATTATTTATACACATACATGTGCCATAGCTGTGCTCTCATCAATGAAAAACGACTTAATTCTAATCCCCACTATAACAACAAAACTATCAAAAGTTATGTCTTAGGCTTAGGAAGGCAAATAAATCTTCCCATTTCTCTCTCCTTTAATTTGTAAGGCACCTGTTGGATGGTCTGGGCAGAATATTATCAAGATATTTTTCGCCTACAAGCTAGATAGCCGTCTCGTTTTTGTGCATGCAGGTTCCGAAGAAGAATTGGAAGATCTGAAGACGGCTTATGTTGATTATGAAGGAGACATGGAGTCGATATTAGCAAATGTACTGTGCTGCACTGGAGAGGATGAAACCAGGTGTTGTATTTATACCTTAAATAGTCTGTATTTAGCTCATCTGACGTAGTCAGATCGAGCTTGTAGAATCGCATGATTCGTGCCGTACTGTCGGCTGTCCGTGCGTCCGTCGGCGTCAAACGAGTTGGGCCAAACTGAGCTCGATGTACGGTCACGATATTCGGACGTGGGGGGGTAAATCGAAAAGCGAGTTGGGATGTCCGAAGCTGGGGGGTCAAAGGTCAAAAGGTCAAGAGGTGTAAATAGAAGGGGGAACATTCCTCCTTAACTTAAGGTATTAGGGAGAAATGCAGAATTGCGGACAAATCTAAATCGTACGACCTAGCTCGTTGATAGTCGTGTAAGCAATCATGGTAGGGAAAGCGCATCACTTGTGCGAAATTGGAGCGTCACAGGTCAAAGCGTCTAATGGCGCACAGGCAGATTTTAGACATTTTCTGGAGGACTGGGTCGGTACGAGCGATGAAAACTTTTTTGTTTAGCGGTGACCTAGCATTTTTCATGGGCCTTTATTGAACAGGACCAGGAATGTACTTTCTGCTGCGACATGCGAAGAGTAAGTGGTCGGATAACCTTCCACCCTCAAGAGGAGCGGTTAAAACATGGAGTTTGGTTTACTGTTAGAAAGAATTTGACTCAAGCGTAGTGCTGAGTAAGAATCTATACATGCCTGGATGTATGAGGCCTACAATGTCAACGTGAAAATTTCAAAAGCTAAAATTTGGGTGAAGAAGGTTTAATGCTCCTTAATTTGTATAATATTCTATGGCATTCTGTAGCTGTCAGTGTGTTACATGTAACTTATGCCACTGCCAGTGGCCACTGCCAGTGCATTTAGTGGTGATAGTATGGTGTAGTTTTTTGCCTGCGTTAATTAGTTACAGGTGGCAGCTCTCTATTTAAGCCTGTATAGGCTTGCGTAGGTAAATGGATGAGTGCTTACCTATTCTGTCTTGCAAATAGCTGTTGCTACTACGTACGATGGGAGCTTCCATCTTTAATCTTAAGACACTTAAACGTACGTGCATCTCGTGGCAACTTTCATAACGATCCCAACGAACATTCCTTTGAGAAGGTTCCTGATACCATCCCTGTGCCTTCCACTGTTTCGGCGCGTATGTGAACACATTTGGGACTACCAGGGTTTACTAGAATCCCACCACTCCACCACAGAGTCACCGCAGTAGACGTTAGATGAGCGCTGTCGCTCCGCGGCACTTGTTTGTATAAGTAATATTGACAATGAAGTCAATAATGCTGACAACTGTTTTGTCAATAAAGATCCGAACCATTGCTGAACAGGTTTCGCAAGCTACTGAAGAAATGCATACAGAAGAAGGAATTGCCAGAATTCGAGAAGTTTGTGAACGAGGACAAACAGGCAGAAAAGGCTAGAAAGAGAAAGGTGGGTGTCCAGTTTCACAACATGTTACAATGCACATTATCTTTTAGAGACATTGAATCACAATGAAGCTACTGATCTGTGTTCCACCACAAAATCCCGCTGCATCTCAAAGTTCACACACGCACCTTACCACAACCTTTACGTTCCATCGTTACTGAAGAACTTTGTAATTGGCTGTAATTAACCTATAGGTCTGAGCAAGATAACGACTCCCTCCTTAGATACTGTTACTAGGTTGGTCAAGCTCACCTCATTTTTTGCAAAAATATTGACTGCAGCACATCTTTACTAAACATTTTTATTAGAACGCACTCTCGCCATACTGAGATTTGCAGGACCTGCCCATCAATCATGCCAGTCAGATAGGTCAATTCTTTCCCTGTGCTTAGGTATATAACACTCTCTGTTCCATCCGCTTTGTTACAATTTTGCAAGGGGGTGGGGGTGAGAGTGCTGCAATTAATCATCGTTGCACCTACCCCTCCGGTTTAGAAACGGAGTCGAAAAGCGTCGTCGTCGAATCCAGTTCCCCGCCGACGAGTCGCGCCGCGTCGCGTGCGATCGCGTCTCAATCGCACGCAGCTTCAGTGATTCGTGGGTCTCTGCTTCTCCAGGCCAAGCGAGAGGCAGCCGAAGCCGAAGAGCTAGCGAAGAAACTGGGATTGCGCGGCGGCGGCAGCGAGGCCGACCTCAGCGCCCTCATACTGCAGAAGCAGCAGTCGCGGGCCGCCGGCGCTGAGGACTTCTTCAGCGCACTGGAGGCGAAGTATGCGCAGCCGAAGAAGAAGGGCGACAAGAGAAAGCGCAAGCCGTAGACGCGAGGAGGCGATCTTCACCTGTGACGTAGATTTGATGTGTAATCATGGCTGGTGATATATAATAGCAGATCCATATTTTAGTTGGGTAAAGCAGTGTCTTCGTTGAATTAACAGCGCCATGACATTAGGGTTAATTTTTCCTCCACACATCAGTACTCAACTTTGCATGAACTGCATTATAAATAGGTTGCTCTATAGTTCAGGCTTGTTTGTATGTATATATTCAGTGAAGTAAATGTTTATAATGAATAGTATATTTGCTGGTTAGTTTTTTATTGTTACCCTGCAATTGCTCTAACAACTGTAATAGCTAACTTGGTAAAGATGCCAGCCCAGCTAACAGAAAAGAAGCCAGCCTTGGTAAGAGTGGAAGTGGAAATCAGCTAGCTTAATTAACATAACATCATAGCTAGATTAGCTAACTTACACAAGACGGCCTTATGTCCCATCGGGGGACCAAGAGGATAAGTAAGTAAGTAAGTACACAAGACTCCATCCAAGGTAACACCGAACCAGTATCATGATCAGATATGGTATATTTTTTGGCATGGCAGTCTCTTGCTGCTACTGTAAATTGATCATTAGTGCAGGTGCTGGTGTGTACTGAGTGCATGTGTAATTGCATATAACCGATACCAACTGACTGAACACATGAAACTACATAACTTGCAGATTTTCAACAAATATAACAGAAATGTATTATAAAAGTTGTGGTACTCGACCGGTGTTATATTAATCACACAATTTCACAGGACTGTATCAAAACGACAACTCTGACATATAAAACCAATATCAAAATAGTTCAACTGCAGGGCAGCAGGAGTGCATGGTATGTGTTCAAATGGGTAGCTAACACCACCCGCCATACCTACTCTCATCAGTTAACCTGCAACCGATTAACACAATGACAGAGAATATCGCCACAATTGGAAGCAAGTTGATTTCATAATGTTCTGTCTCCATCCATTCATTTCCCCAAGTAAAAGCAAAATAAAATTTCAGGTTCCATAGATGCTCGCGTGGAAAAACATGCTGTTTACTGCTGTACAATAGAATATGGTAGCTACTTTGTGCATAATTATCAGCAAATAATATGGAAGACTTTGTGGCTGTACTGCAGTACCGATTGAATACCGTGTACCATAAAATCACACTAACACCATCCACTTAGTAAAAACAGAAGGATGGTCGGTGAGAAAAAAAGCTTTAACAACCAGGATGGAGAACCTGGTTCGCAAATAAACTGAGTACAGTAATATCAGCACCTATTGACATAGTCTCTAACTAAACCTTATTGGATAGAATGTGACTAGTTATAATGGTTTCATAGTCATTAAGGATTTAATACACACTTGCTGGTACTGTGGTCCACATTCATGTTTACGTTTTAATGAATCGTGAACAATTCAAGCTAAATTATTAATGTGTTTACCATAATCAAGAGTTAAACAATAGTTTACGATTTTGTTAATAAATCATGCATTCTTAGTTAAGCTTACTCTGTTAGCTCGCATTACACCGTCTTCCCTTTATTCAATATTAGCAAATGGGGGCAAAAAGCGCATTTTGAATGACCTATTTTAAAATTCCCAACATCAACTAATATTTAATTGACCAGATACGTAGTTTGGTACCTACCACGCCAGATGTAGCTGTGCTACCAATATCATGCCAGGTATTTTCTATTCCTTGCACTAACCCTCATCACCCCCTAAGGTAAGCACTAGCTAGTGACTCACTACAATGCTCGGCCATCAAATCAATTAAAATTGTACAATGCAGGCCAGGGACGGTCTCTCTGTCTTTGACTATTATCTCTCTGTCTAACGCTAACACAAACGCTACCACAATCTACCCGTCGCTGCGGTTACAGGCCGCCGCCGTGACCCGACGTGTCGCCGAACACAATGCGGCGATAGTTCTTGTTCATCTGCTCGAGGAAGATGAAGGTGAGGACCGTGTGCGGTCCGAGGCGGGCGTAGTACGGCGTGAAGCCCTTCCACAACGAGAAGAAGCCCTCGTTGCGCACGACCTTGACCAGGACATCCTGCGTGAGGAGAGAGACGCGGACGCATGATGACCGGGAATGGATACGACGACACTTCATACGTCGTTTCCAGCGGCGAGCGAGAACACCCTGCCCCCCTGTGCCGTCACGAACGATGTGAATACACTCTCGTTGCAGACTGCGCCAGTTCCAGTGTAGTGTTTAGGATTTATGTGACTCCACAGTCAGAGACTTCTAATGTCAAAGCATTACTGTTGTGCAGTACCGTGTGACGCAAGTAGTTCTACTTGCGTCACAAGGGACTGCACAACAGTAATGCTGTTACAATTAAAAATAGTAATGTTAATGTTGTAGGGCTAGTGCAGTATGCAATAACCAACTTTGGTTATTGAATACTGCACTAGCCCTAGTGTAGCAGCCTGCAGTAATGTGACTCTGCAATCACAGGCCTCTAATGTCATTTCATTACTGTCATGCAGTCACTCACGGCACACGTAGTTGGTTATTGCATACTGCCCCAGTACTTCTTGAACTTATGTTTCAGTAACACATTGAATTTACATGACAATATCATCAAAAGGTGCCTAACGACAAATTAATGAGTTGAAATGCATACTGGCCGTGCATGTCACCTACTGCCATCTGGTGACAAGTCTAAACAACTTCATTCAGCTCAGGAAAAGACAGCTCGACCGGCCGTCGAAACAGTCGTTAACGGGTCGGCCTACTCTCATTTACCTCAGAATGAAGGCTACTCCACACACATTAACCCCCGCTTGCAACCGCAATCGCTCGAGCGCACCTCCACTCGCATGCGAGACCTGCTGGCATCGGGTCGAAGGGGAGTAGGGGAGGAGGAAGAGGAGGAGGGGTGAGGGCATACTCACGATGGCTCCCCTGTACTCCGGCACGCCGTTGATGACCTTCATGTTCTGGACGCGGGTCTTCGCGATGTCGACGGGCATGGACGCGGCCGTCGTCACGAGACCGCTGAGCATGCTCGCGACGAAGTGGCAGGAGACGTTCTCGCTGAAGTAACCTACGCAGGAGATCGGCGCCCATCAGAACACGATGAAGAAGAAGTGAAAGACTCAGAAGGATTTCAATGGGAAGATTCCACTTCGTACGTAGAGCAGTGCATTTTAAATCTGTGATTCAATAATTTCATCGGATCTCTGTAGTTCACATAAAAATAAAGTTGATCTCTGTTAGATCCATAATAAGTTGTAAGTAATTATAACGTATTATGGATCTAACTGAGATAAACTTTATTTTCACATTGTAAATCTGTAAGTCCATGACTTTCCAATATTCTAGTGCATTTGAGAGACACAGCCACAGAAATGATTAACAACTATTTCACGTGAAGGCATTAGCTCCTTCACAGCGTTAAAAGCAGCGAAAGGGAGGGGTAAAACCTGTCATCGGGATCAGGAACGTGTCGAGGGCTTACCGGTTGAGAGCAAGAACTGCTTGGCTTGTGAATAAGAAGCCAGCTGCGCAGCATTTACTACCATGGCTCGAACGACCGTCGGACCACAACCCTGCAATGTAACAACGCCTGCTGTTACCGCTGACACAACACTAACCGACACCGATTAAGAGCGACACCCCCAATTTAATCACACCAGCTGTTGGCACTATAACATTAGCTAGATCGAAACATAATTAGACAGTCTCGTTATTAATTACGGCGCGGCGCAGTGCTGCTTATTGCTGTTATCGTAAGTTTAAAATTGCGACACGATTCTTCTGCAGCACCAACAAATTCTCTGTCACCTGCTCAAACAATTACGAATCATTTATAATTGTTTCAGTAACATTTACAGGAAATTGCAGAGTACCATAGAGTGGTGTGTTGATAGTTTCTCGAGTATTTAATACCACCTTAGAGTGTGTTCTCAGTAGAAACGTGTGTTGCAGTTATTCAAGTAGATTTCAGAACCTAATACTACAACAGCTACCTTCTTATACCTTCTCAAGCCCACTGACACCCAGAAGCAGTATTTGTGCAGCTGAACGTTGCAATATAATGAAGACTGTGTCATTCGTCACATGCTCATATAAAATTTATTAAATTGGCAGCAATCGCATTTTACCCTCCATAGAGTAAGAACGCCTTCCTCCTTTATTATTCGGAAAAGAGCATCAAATACGTTCTTGTATGCCCGTTGCTCCGCAACAGGTAACCTATGAATAAATACAAGTATAACCGTACGACAGTACAACCACATTACTAGTCAACATCGACAACATTACATCAAAATTAGTCATGCTCACTACAGAAATGGACATGTCACTATTAACCTACTCGTGAAACACAAATGCACGTATCACACATACTGCTAATGCAGGAGGTACGTAATTCTACGGTGTCCTTCTCACCTTCCATCGGCACACATCCTGATGAGAGAAATTTCAGCAGGTGTGCCAATAAATGCCCCAGTCGCTCCGGCCACCATTCCAATGCCAGCTTTCATGAAGAAGTTTGGAGGTGAGCCATCTTTACTACAACGAAAATACAATGAAGCTGAAAGGTAAACGTCAGATTTCACGCAGCAGATGAATTTCAAGCTGGAAACAACTTCACTTTTGTGCAATTTGCCTATCAGCCTGAAGTGACTAGTAGAGAGACTATATAGAGAGCAAGTAGCTCCAACTAATTAGAAATGCGATAGGGGCATGCTAAAAATGTTGCTCAGTAACAAAGTTCCATAAAATCAACAACTTAGATTGCACGTGTGAAAAGCATATGAAGTGGTCTCGGTTTACAGACCTAACAATAATATTAAATGGGGGTGTAGTTACGTCACTTCACTTAGGTGAATAGTAAACTTATTTGACGTTTAACAATGCTGTAATACAGAATTGCAATGAAATGTCACAAATAAATAAAACCGATAGCGATAAAACCAGAGTAAGGTTTGATCTAGTCATACAACAGATTTAACAAGTTACAACTTACAGGTCGCAAAAACACTTTTTGCAGTTCAAAAACGTTTACGACCTCGATTTAAATATACAGACGCAATGTCAACTGCATTCTACCACGTTTTTGCCGTAAAATTTTTTTGATCTATACCGGGACAGCTGTGACCTTGATAAACATCTAAATACAGATGCAGGCTCACCCTCGGAAAAGGTCGAACAGCCAAGTGTAGATGCCGAGTCGCGTCGTCGTGTACGTGGCTTGTCTCAGCAAACCAGCTGACAGCCTACAGTCATAGATACCAGGTTAACTGCAGCTACGAATGAGGACCCACTTGCAAGATTTCGCGTAACATATCGAAATAATGCTCATGCAGGTTTCGATGACATTCTGTACTGGTTCTGTGCACATAGTAAATGAGTTCGCAATATAGGCAGTGGGTTCCTATACATTTCCTATCTATCTACAATGCTTGGTCCTAGTGAGGTTACAACAAACATAAAACCATGTAAAGTTGCACTATATAGGAGCCCCACTATGACCACACTAGCTGCCATGGATATAACCCAGTCGCACTTTTGTCAAGTGGATGAGCCCTTAACGAAGATTAGTGATATAACACAATGAAGTTATAATGATGCCAGCTAAATCACCATTACGACATGAAACGTTCATAGTTGATGTTCACATGTTACTTCTGTGAGCTGGAGTGTACAAACCCTGAATAGATTCCTATGATGCCTTCATTTCGCAATATACCAGTAACTGCATGGAAGCTTGTTTTATATTGTTTCGCACCGCCTCCTTCTCCTAAAAATAAGACATGGTTATATTGAATACAACTTATTACATACAAGTGACAATATGAAATTACCAGTAAAACACAGTAATTAATGAAAACAAATAAAATTATATTTTACTATAAATTACTTGAGTTTGGTAAACTAGCAATTCAGGAGTATAATATAAAGACGATAAAGGCACACACGCTCTCTCTCTCTCTCAGCTATTGTTGACAAATTGACATACGTACCGCTAAGCTGCATACGATTCTTGACTAAATCCAGGGGCTGTACGAAGACAGTGGCACCCATCCTACAGCAGAACAATAATTTTAAGACATATCCACTGATTGCCACAGGAAAGCCTTTACTAGTTGTGCGATGTCCCACCGTGTTTTTTCTATGTGACGATCACGTAACTGCTGTCACACTGCACCATATATTATTACTTTTGGCAGTGAAAAAGAAAATGCAAATATAAGTATAAATAGGTAATTTTAAAGTGCTGATCATAGTACCAGGAATAAATGAATAGAGAGCTCCTGTTAGTACGTTAACCAGAGTAGGATATAATTGCTGTTATTTTGTCATATCTTACAAATAAATCAGATATCGATAAATCATATTACAGCCTACAGTATATTTTAGATTTCTTTGTGAAATTTTAAAAGCAGTATATATATATATATATATATATATATATATATAATATAATGGCTGGTATTATTTCTCCGGCAGCCGGAGAAGCAGCGGTGAAAACCATCGTTAGTTCTCCGGCCGCTAGAAAATTAAGAACAAATTTTCTTGTTAGATCTCCGGCGCCGGAGAAACAAGTGTACGTTTTCAGCACTGCTTCTCGGGCTTTGCCGTAGTTCTAAGCAGTGCTGAAAATCATAGTTAAATTCTCCGGCAGACCGAAGTGTCCCACCGCTGCTGTATTAGGCGGGAAGATGGCCACGTGGTCTACCCAGCCATGTATCAGGATGTATCTAACCCTAACCCTAACCCTAATCTCAGCAGAATAAGGTGTGCAATAGTCCGCAAATGCAGACGTTATAACTCCGCTTTGCTAATCTGAGGGTGCGGGTTTATCCCCATTACTGGGGTCTGCGTCGGCTCGGACTAGGTGTGTGTTGTATCTCTCTTAGTGCATGAATTAGAGTAGATATTTTTTACCTCACATCACTCTTACTCCAATAAATTAGAGGACGCAGATATGTGAAACTCAACCACCACCTTTATTCCTAGAATCCGGAGAGTGCTCCTTCCCCGCCAAAACGATACATCAACAATAGAACATTACATCTCTTCTTTTCTTTAAAGGAACACAATAACCTGGAGCAATAAACCCCGTTGCCATATAACATACAATGTCCGAACTAAATTCAAACTTATTCCTGTAACACAACTGTGGAACAACTAATCTCAAGACATTGTATCTCCAACACAATAGAAACGAAATTCTACTCCATTACATAGTTACAGAGTACTTAGCAGGTGCTCTCTTTTGCCTGTGGGATCTACGATACTGGGTTGTCAAAGAAGATTGTGGCATCTGAGACGTATCTTCAGATGAAGCCTGAACATCTGGATCTATAATTAGTTCTGACACATCAGTGACATCACTGTCTGGAACTCCACTATTGGCTCCAGTTTCAATCATTGGTAGGGCGGTACTGGGGGGCTGACGCGCCGGCCGGGCGCGGTACCCTGCTACCTGCGGGTAGCCGTCCTTACCGCTCTCGTCCTCGTTATGGGGGCGGGGAGTACTAGCGATTCGCCGACGTTCATTTTGGCTAAATGCAGTAGGTTATTGCCATATAGAGGCACGCACTCTCCGGACGCCCTTCCGACTACAAGAACTACGTTACATAAGATTTGTCTACGACCACTGCTGGGACCGGAGGTCGACTGTTTGTTGACACTTGGGTATTAATTTGGTTTTCCTTCTTTTCACGCTGGACCAGATTGTGTATCCCAAGCAGCATACGCACAGAGGTCAAGTGCGCGATTGTCTTGGACGCTCGTCGGGTTAGATTTTGTCGCTTCGCTCTTTCCTTTCTGTTCGAGCATCGCAGATGTGCGGGTTAGCTCTCCCATATCTCATATTAGACTGTGCTGCCTGGGAAGATCGGGGGTACATTTCGCGCTCTCACTTTTACGAGTGTAAGACAATAGAGTCCAGTGGATTCTCGCTGTAAGTATGTATGGTTCAGATGGCCCGGGGGTATTTCGTCACGATAACTTTCCTGGATTCTCTCTTTTCCAGTCTAAGCCCTTCTGCCCTGAGCGATCGAGTTCTCTTCCATCAAGCGAACGACTTATGTTCTTACGGCGTTCTACTGGTCGCATTTGCTTCGGGCGCCCATTTTGCTCGATAGTAACCTTGAGGCCGGTGATTCCCATTTTGTCCCATCTCAGCGAAGATCTCTTCAGAACGAAACTGCTGTTGGTCCGCTTTATACTGACTTGATAGTGGGACTTACTAGGGTAGTCCTCATGCGCGATGAACTATTTCTCCTTAGCAATACGTAAGTCGTTACATTCTTTCACAGCGAGCTAGGTTTAGGAGATATCGCTATGTATTAGAACCGCTATAGTAGGGTCACTACGGACACTACGTATCGAAATGTCCCGATGTGAGAAGAAGGGGGTCCCGCAAGTCGCGGTTCGAGTGAAGCTGCGAACATTTCCTGCCGAGGTCGATCCGTAGTCGGTGCATGTGGTTCGGTCTCCAGCGGTTCGCGCTTACGGATCTGGGATGCGCGACTAACTGTACAACATTGACCGACTTCTTACGAAATACTTCGCTTGCAGTCTATTCGCATTGCCTGGGCCACCACAATTTGTTCCGTCGATTCTGTTTCGTCCCCACCCTAAATTTTGCCTTGCGTGTGCAAAGGCTAGGTTGCGGTGCGCCGGGTCGTACTCTTATGGTATACCAGATGACGGTAGTAGCTCGTCGTTAAGCACCCACTGTCTCAGCCACGCATAGATGTCGGTCCATTGGTGGCAACGACCGTCTTTTGGCATTTCTGCAAATCGGGACCCGATGCTTTTATTAGCTTTCGCGTACTCCACGGAGGTTAGGTTGCAGTCGTCAGCTCGCGGACAGTTTGTTCTAACTCCGTTGTAGTGTAGACGCTCTTTGTCCGGTGTTCGATCAGTTGGCTTTCGTGCACACAAGACCCGCGACAGTGAGTTTCCTCGTGACACAGGTGTGACATTGGCCTGGTGCACTGGGCCTTGAGCCACTTAGAATGGGCTGGTGACTCAATGAAGTGTGCGTATTCTAGTTCGCTTTGGGTCCTGGGGTCATTACCAACTAGTTTGAAGCTTACGGTTGGAGACGTGCAACTATTTGTCAATTTGGGCGCACGGGTAGGAACGCAGGGCTGTAGTTGCCCTGTAATGGCTTTGATGAATTCCGTCACTAAATTTTTTCGCTCCAATTTTTCGGCATACCTGTATACTGTACGCGATGAATTCTTCACGCGGCGCAAACTGAGGACCGCAGCGCTTTTCACGCGTTCTGTCTAGTTGTATCTAGCGTTCACAGTGCTCAACTACGATCGTCGTTAAACATGAATGGGTACGATACTGTTCCATCTTCTGTTCGCCTGCTTACTAGACACGGGACCCTGACAACTGGATGGCATCAGCTACTCCCTTAGGTGGGGCAGGCTCGTTTATCAAAAGTAAGCCAGTTATTGCTGGTAGCGAGAATGTCCTTCAGCTGAATGCATTGCTTTTGCTGCTCGGGACGCAAAGGTTGACCATGGTACATCCTTACAGGTTCTCGTTGCCGAAATTCGGTGCGGCGAACTGCGTGGTTACTTGCCCTAACACGATAGATCTAAATAGCTTACGACCTCTTGATTGCAGCTCGGCTGGGCTCTCGTCGTTCCATCACAGCTTTTTACCCTGTCGGCTCCAGTAGGCGACCTTACCGCTTTCCTGGATGTAGTTATCCCCCGGATGCATATCAAGTGATTTTTTTTTTCTCCATATCAAATTGACAGTTTTGTGCCGGGCAGTTCGTGTTAGGTCGCTGGATGCGGCCCCGTAGTTGCTAACTGGCATGTAGGGCTGTCCGTCACTCAGTGTGTTTCTCTTTATCAGGTCATGCACTATCGATATCCGTCAGAGTTCTTTCACACACACTCGATGTCCTGGCTCTTGCTGTTGCTATCTGTGTTGATACTTGCTCGCTGGCGGAAACATAAGATGCGTGATTCTTCTTGTATGGGATTCACAGCCCTCATGAAGTGGCGATATGTGCTGTGCTTTCGCTTGACACTCTGGAGACAGAGCTCCAACTGTCGAATAACGCACCACTTTACGAATCTATCTGCTCGCAACGCTTTGTGGACGCATTACTACTCCTTGGTTGAGGTTCACTTCCACGCGTGGTTATGGGTATCTGCCCGACGGATAAACTTGCCTCATTTGCTCTACCGCCATGGTCAAGACTCAGCGGTTAATTGTCACCTTGCCGCCTTTGTGTGGCGTCCACGAGCTACGACTGGATTTACGGAATAGTGGGGTGTGGGGACGATCGGTCGACTGGCTTCTGATGTCTAGATCCGCAGTAATTTTTTTACTCTTGTTCCATTCTACCCTTGATTCCTCAATTGAATGGGTTCGCCGTCATAGGACGGGTTGTGCTACTTGGCGGGTCCTACCGTGTGATTCAATGTGGGGTAATTTTGCCAGTTTTCAGTTTCCATCACGTTGGAACACATGTGGCTGGGTCAGTTCGTTGCGATATCATCTGGTTACATCGCTCTTACTGCTTGCAGTTCTAATGGCCAAATTTTCGGAGCACACGCTAGATTTGCGTCGCCGTATCTTCTACCAAGCAACGGTTACCCCTTTCTTTAAGATTACAGGAACTTCAGTCGAGCGACTTTTGTCCGTGCCTAATACACCAGTCACTTCCCTCTTACTGGCTAATGGTTGTATCAGGCCAGTAGGCCGTGGAACAGTTCTCCTCCCTGTAGTACTGGCGCCACACCGATCTTGCCACTTTATGTTGCTAGATTTTTATTCCCCTCCGCGTGTTTCCTCATGGCCCGGATTTGTTACTGGCTCGCAACCTGAATCCGACCCAACATTGCCTTCACGCCACAAACACATGTGCGTAAGCTACTTGATTTACACAGAACAAGTGAAGTGCATAATCTGGAATTACCAGGGGTCATTTGAGGACTTTCGCTAACTATATTTACCCGCCGACCTTGACTGTTGTCTACACACTTTAGCTAATGTGATCTCTTCCCTTTGCACTTTTACGATGACTGCTTTTTGGCTGGCATTTCGGAGTCGCTCCCAAGCTCATGGGACGTTATCGCACTCTTATAACAAGCTTATCTCTTACGTAACGGTGCTTATTATCGGATTTTACTACCATTGCTTCCGTTCGTTGTGCGTTCAGTGTCCACTTGACTCACGTTCTGTTGCAGTTTGCGCTAGTTTGCCGTCGACAAGTGCGGCATTTGGCCCCGTCCACCATTCGCTTGGTCTGCATTGTATCGGGCACGGTCCTAGAATGTCATTATGCTGGCCTTCTATCCAGCAGCTTCTCTAAGTAATCCGAACGAGCTTGCTGTCCGCAATGTGCTTTGATCTACGGTCTCATACGGCTTGCCATAATTACTGGTTTCGCCGCCTTCCTCACTACGTGTGGACAATTGTTGACGTCTCTCACTGGTCTTGCCTGGGTGTCGAGGTGAATGTCTGCTCCTCGCAAACGACTGTGAATTTATCTTGGGGACGGAAATAAGTGTTTCATGCCGTCACTGCTGATACATCATCCGTGACTCCTCGCGAGTGGCAGGTTAATGTGAAAACATGTCCTGCAATCAAGGTCCGGCCAGGTGAAAGTAACAGTTGCTTGTCTCGCGTGTTGTTGTTTGCTACTTGTCCGTATTCTGTCTTAGCGATGACTTCTTGCAGATACGAGCGTTTCGAACGCTGTCAGCCATCTCTTTGCGTTTGCCAGCGCGAGTGGACGCCGTTTAGCCAGGTAGAGTTGGTTTCAAACGTCGGTAGTCTTATTTTATCTCCTTGCAGATAATTTCTCGCACCAAAAGTGAAGTATTTTTCTGCGTACTCAGTGTTGTATCTTCATCGTCACGTTGCTGAATTGAGTAGGTATTTTTTTACCTCACATCACTCTTACTCCAATAAATTAGAGGACGCAGATATGTGAAACTCAACCACCACCTTTATTCCTAGAATCCGGAGAGTGCTCCATCCCCGCCAAAACGATACATCAACAATAGAACATTACAGTGTGCAACATCTGTACACGTCTTTAGCAATGTCTGACATCCCCGTCATGTCCTTTGTGTTATAGGACCTAGTTGCCTCTCCAAGGGCTTATCCGGCATGGAATTTGGCGGCATAGTCTGCTTTTTGCCGGAGTAGCTAGTTTGATTTGTTGGCTTAGTTGTCCGGCTTGCCGGGGAAATAATCACTTCGATATATAATATTATATATATATATTGAAATGGAGGGTTTAGAACAAACATTATGGATGGTGGATCTGCGACATGTGCGTGCGGCGTCGGTCTTTCTATAATCTTACCGGTGATCTGTGATGATTCTACTAGGACTAGTGATTACGAGGCAATGCAGCAATAGTACTAGTAGATTAATGTACGTACACAAAGGTATATAGCATATAGGCCTACCTGCTACAGTGCTATGGCATTGCATTGGACTCCCACACATATACAATCAATGACAATCAACGACTGTCAGATTTGATGAGTCATGAGATAGGGTTAGGATTAGGTTTACAGTTGATGATGCATGGTGATGCCTGACGGTCGTTTCTAAACAGGGATTCTTACCAGTACCTTTACGTACGTAAACTCGAGGCAATACAAGCGAGACACCGACTGATATTGCCATGGTCCCAGCCAGGTTGCCCTTGACAGCTTGTTGATGGGCACATGGCTATGCGAGTATATACCGTTTTATACATCCAACCACTCAAAAGTGAGTGTACTCCAACATGTTTTGATCAATTACCGTTCCTTGCCATGCAAAGTATAATACATACCCTGCAGTTCCTCCAAACAAGAACTTAACTGCATTTGGAATGCTTTGGATTGGAGCTTCACCACTCATCTTCGCGGAGTTTCTGACTTTATTCCTCCGTTGAATAATCCGTTCTCACTTGTTACCTGACTCGTTACCGGTCCGTTTATCGTTTCTGCCACAAGGTGGCATTGTGATCGCAAAGTTATCCAGCAGAAATCGTGGTGTTCTGGCAATCTGACCACAGAAATCTCAGCCCAATTACTATTGATAGGTTATTGGGCTGCGATTTCTATGGTTCTGACCCATTTCTATGTCTGTATCATAAAAATAGATGTATACTTATTACATATTGGGTATATATTTATTTCTATATTCTGTATATTTTGTTCTTAGATAACATATAGTTGATTTTGTGCCTGAAAACGATACTCTTGCATATTTCGTTCTTAGATTTTGTATTCTATCATCGCAAAAAGTAATGGCAATAATAGTATAAAATGAAGATTTATAAATAAATAAATGAATAAATAAATTATATATATATATATATATATATATATATATATATACCTAATGGTGTGTTTAGTGACTCGTGTGTCGAGAGTGTCAATACTACCATGAGCTAGTGTATTAAATGGAACATTTAAACTTAATAACTTAAATTTAAATTAAATTTAAATTTAAACTTAAAATTACTGTAGCTATAGATATAGTAAATTTTCTAATTAGATCACTCTGTATTTAATTGGCACTGATGAGTGTGGAGCATAGAAATAGTATAGATAACCTAAAAAAGTTATCTATACTATTTTCCTATGGTGTGGAGCTTGCGTCTATATGAAAAAGCTCTTGTATGCAATAAACAGAGCAAAGGTACAAGCGATGTCCTTATATCTTTATTTATATATATATATATGTATATATATATATAATATATATATATATATATATATATATATATATATATATATATATATATATGGTGGTGCATCACGCGCGCGCGTGTGCGCGCGTGTAGGCATGTGTGTGCATGTATGTGTGTGTGTGTGTGTGTGTGTGTGTGTGTGTGTGTGTGTGAGAGAGAGTGTGTGTGTGTTGTGTGGTGTGTGTGCGCGCGTGTGTGTGTCTTGGTACCGGTACGTAAGTACGTGTGCGCGCGTGCGTGCATGCTTGTTTATGTGTGCGAGTTAGTGCGTGCGCGCGTGGGGTGCTGTAGCTATAGATAACTAGGTGTAAATGATATAACACAATTAATACACGAAACAAACGTCAATCCATTGCAATTAATCATTAAAAAATGCTAAAATCCGCACGAAAGTGCATTTCCTACAGTGCCGAGATATTTACATCCATAGAAAGTGAAAAATAAAAAATATGGCGAAAAACGTCGATGTTGGTGTACCCTACATGCAATTCGTAAGGAATTTGTTGTGTGAAAACGCAAAACAACGATTAGGAAATCGCATTATAACATGGGGTTCAATGAGAACTTGCACAACCACGCACGCAAACACACACTCATATTATCAAGAGCTAATAATACTTTTTTATACCTTTTTTTATACCTTTTTATATACTTTTAATAATACTTTTAATAAATCTGTTGGCGTTCAAAGTATAGTCAATCTCTATATAGTATTATTAGCTCTTGATATGATATTATCAGGAGTAAGATAATATAGATTCTATATATTCTATAGATAGATATATTCTATAGATTCTATCTATATTATCTTACTCCTGATATTATCACTATCAGGAGTATATAATAAATGGTATTCACAAATTCAATATCTGGATTCAATGCGAAGAATAATATCATTTGCTACAAAATACATGCGCATAAAAATAGGGCAATACTTGCAGCAATAGATATACATACTTTTTGTTATATATTCTTCTAGCTGCTAAACCCAAACATTATCCCCTATTGGTGTAAGATGGCGCTTACGACAATAAAAATGGCGTTGCCTTGTGCGATTTAAAATTTGGCCACCCAACATAGAAATGATCAGTTGTTTAATTATGGCAGCCTCCATCGTGAAAAGTGGGGGTTCAACAAAATTACGATTATTTTATAATTGCGCCACACAATCGCACAGTAAAACAGGCGTAGTAAAAAGTAAGTAAGCCATGCCATTATCATAGCTTGTTTCCGTCTTCGATTTATGACGATATAGTACCCTAGACTTTGAAGACTAATATTTACGAGGTTACGTTACGAGGTTTGTTACGTAGATATGCATTGTACTTTGTACTGTAGCCAGTGTAGCTGTCGTAGGGCTACAGTACAGTGCTACACATCCTGCCATTCATGGTACCATAATCATGATGTACTTTGATAGTTACTGAGAGTCATAATGTATAAATGTGGACATGTTCTCATCAGTTGTTGTTATTGCATGTGATATGAATTTGTTGTTTCTGCCCCTAATTAATGCTCAAGTGACAAGGAAGGGGTCGTTGTCGTAACAGGTACTACAGTCGTACAGATATGTACCCGAGGTACATATATGTAGGCTAACTCTAACTCTAACCCTAACCCTAACCCTAAACATACCTCATATAAAAATATAAACATAATACTAAACAACCTAAAACTGCCTCGGGTACATATCTGTAGTACCTGTTACGACAACGACCCTTCGTGCCTAATTAATAGTAATACTAATAGTAATAGTAATACTAAATAGTAATACTAATAGTAATAGTAATACTAAATAGTAATACTAATAGTAATAGTAATACTAAATAGTAATACTAATAGTAATAGTAATACTAAATAGTAATACTAATAGT